GCTTTAGTCAAGTAGAGCTCTTCCAGTTTGTTCTACATTTCAGATGTTGTCTTCTCCTTGATTACCTTCCTTAGAACTGTATCAGAGAGGCTAAGGATAATAGTATTTCTTGCCTTATTCAAGGTGTCAGCCTGGTTTGAAGCCTCAGTTCCAGATTTTTCTTTCAAGGCTTCTTCCAATCTAAGATTACCAAAATGTGCCATCATCTTCTCCCACCATAGGTTGAAATCATTCTTTCCATTAATTCTCCACTTCAAATTTAGATGTTGACATGATGTGACCAAGATTCTAGCCAGGAATCTTTCTTTCACAAGAAACGTGTTCGGCCAATTAAAAAAAAATAGAAATCAGGCCAGGAAATTTCAAGCTCTGATACCAATTGTTGGAACTTTGAAGGCTGCCTTTAGGTCTAATGTTAATGCAGAATTAGATTTAACACAGCAGTACAAATGTGAAATAAACGAGCAGCAAATAAACCAGTAGAAATTGATGTACCACTGAAGCAATATAGCAGGAAGAACACAGAACGGAGAATAAAACCAGCAGGAAGCAACACAAATTTAGAACTCCGCAGATCAGAATCAATACAACAAGATAAACACTGAGAATGAATTTGAAACAGGAAGAAATCCTCTTCCTAACCTTTATTTACCAAGACTAAACATGATTTACAAACTAGAAATTATCAGAAAGATTTTTACCCAGATTTACAAGAGTTTACCACTCTTCCTAATCTAACTTTCTCTTAATTTTCATTCCCGAGTTCCCCCCTTTCTTCAGACCTAATATAGGTATTTATAGGTACAAAGGGGTATAAAAAATGGTTATTAACTACCTAACTAACTAAGGCTCCATATAGTTGAAGATTCCAACCAAAATCAGTTGTAAAACAACCAGAAAAGAGGCTCTAGTTCAACAGCAATTCTGATTGTTTGAATAATCAAGAGACAGACTTTAAGGAATCATTTTATTACAGTGGACACATTCACAACCTCCTATTACAACAAGAAATCAAGTGGCAGTGGCAATGAAGGAGGATTTGTCCCTGTTCATACTCATGCCACACACGGTCATGCACATGGATCAGTATCGATGGATACTGATGCTGGTGAAACACAACTTCTTCGTCACCGCGTAATCTCAAAGGTTTTTATCTTGATTCACTGTGTTTGTTGCAGAAATTCTTTGTTAGTGATGGTTAATTTTCATGGCGCTGTAGGTGTTGGAGTTGGGAATTATAGTCCATTCTGTAATTATTGGAATTGCTTTAGGTGCTTCTGAAAGTCCTAAAACAATAAGGCCTCTAATTGCTGCTTTGACCTTCCATCAATTCTTTGAAGGCATAGGGCTAGGAGGATGCATAACCCAGGTATTCACACTTGTAATTCTTGTCTCATGATGTCAAATCAATTATTGAATAATTTAGTAAATTTAGTAGTAATATAATTTTTCATTGAATAATTTTTAAAATAAATTAATTATTGAGAGTTAAGAAATAAGAAAATAAATGAAACACCGTTCATTGGTGTAATGAGTTGAAGATAACTAAATATGACGGTGTGAAAGTTACACCAATTTAATGTAATGAGTTGGAGATGGTTTAGAATATTTTTTACTTGAGTTTGTTACTGATAGATTGTTTTAAAGTATTTATTTTTTCCAAGCCACACTACAAGAAAATATCTAAATCGCGACAAAAAAATGTTGTCGCATAAATAGAGATTTTGTTGCAAAAATAATTTTGCGACAACATTATGTTTGTTGCAGGCATTGTCACACTATATGAGTCACAGAATGTATTTTGCGACAACTTTCAATCATTCGTCGCAATAAGAAACAAGCAACGTTATTCGTTTGACGCCAAA